ATTGAAGGATGTCCAGTGGCGATTGGAACCCATGCGCCTCATTCCAAGACCACCCGAAGCTCAAGAGGTTCCTCGATCTGCAGCAAGCTCAGTATCAAAGCTGTAAACACTTCGACGTGATGCAACCCATGCACACTGGCGCAAACGTGGTCAACACATGGCAATCAGAGGGCATACATTGGGCTAGAGGATGATTGCTTGAAGGCCGTCTATGATAGGCAGCGAGCGCGAGATGCCTTGATCGGCTTCTGCCTGTTATCCTCGAGACGTGACCGGCTTAGGGTAAATGCATCGACGAAAAAGCCAGCAGCTCAACACTCCGACTGGATGCTTGATGCTTTGGTGGAAGTCGATTAGCGCATTAGTGCTACACAATTCCGATTCCATGGGCTCTCTTCTGGAACTGCGGTCATGACCCAGCAGAAGCCTGCGAGGCAAGGAGGTGCTGGTCGCCGCCAGTGTCGTTACAGATGGTCGACCCTTATCGCACAGCGATGAGAGGAAGCTGACCGCTTGGTAGACACTTGCCGCGAGGACCTCGGTGCCGTTGGGCTTGCACAATTAGCATATTACCACCATGGCACCTTTCATTGCGTACTCCAAAGCTTGGTGGGAGCTGCGCAGTCAGGTCTGTATATCGCGCTTATTTGGCGACGCACGGCGGAACAACCCTCGTGGTGCATGTATGCACGTTCAATCTACGCAGGGCGCTTAATCGAGAACCTCCTCGATGACGCCCTGCTTGGATTTCCACTCTCATGAGCGATCTGGTCTCCCATCATGCGGCCACGACGACGCCAAACCAAGACTCATCGATGAGCGGATGACATCGTTGGTGATAGCAAAATCAAATTTGAAACCAGCAGGCAACAAGTCTTGCACACTCCCGCTCGACTCTGAGTCGAGCTTCAGGTGCACACAGGACAAGGCAGGGAGTGAGGGATCCGCTCCTGATTTACGACTTGCGTGTGGCGCACGCGCACGCGCACGTGCTCGATCGTGTCTACTCGATCACACTTCATGAAGAATCACGAATCCCAAAGATCGTAAGGATGTCAAAGTATTTGAATCAAATGCTCGGAGGCAGCTCACTGAATCAGAATGTCTTGAAAGTCACGCCGATGGCGTGTTTGGGGCACCTCAACGGTACATATACCGCCGGCGTGACGTGCTTGAGGAAAGCGCAACGGCCCACATGCCGCCCAGGGAGTCGCCTTCTCGCCCCGCTTCAAAAGTGACGGTCGCAATTAAGCAATCAATATCTGGTTCCCGCTCCTTTGCGGCGTCAACGTTATCAATTGCAGGCGTCCGCTCAGCAATCAAGGACCGCAATCAAGACTCGTCAATCACGAATGTCGCGCAATCTCTGCGGTCTGATAAGAGTCGTGTAGGACTCGCATGGCGTCATTGAAGCGCTCATCCCTACTGTTCGTCTGCTTGCAATCACCAATCGTGCATGCGACAAGAGAAAGAGTCGCCGGTGAGGCATGGACACGCATGTCAAGATAGCTTGATGCATGGGAGACCTACCCTACGCAGCTTCTGTAGCTAGCACGACTTGCCACACGGACATGCTCACACTTTCATCGATAGCAGCTATAGGCGAGTATAGGCAAGCATGCTAGCATCTGATAAGCTTCCGAGTCAAATGAACATGCAGCAAGTTTTTTGCTTATAAAGAGCGAAGGCAGAGATGTGGACGTTGGGGTCGGTGTAGCCCAAAGTTGCCCTGACTCTGCTACAAAGACCGCCTGCTCCCTTCAGCTTAATTGTCTTCGAGTCTGGCACTCGAGGCACTCTGCGTTCCCTTTCTCCTCTCCTGAGCTAGCAGCAATCTTCTTTTCTGCAAAACGTTGCTATAGAGCCTTTCCGCTCATCGCTTCCCCGCTTCGGCCCAGGCAGCAAAGCATCAAGGTGTCACGATTTGGATTCGTGGCTTTACCAACAAGCACGTCGCGAGTCTGAGCAATCTCGATTGATACGGTGCTCTTGCGAAACGCGACCCTCGGCAGCCGACAAAGACTCATCTGCACCTCCTTGTCTGAGTCCTTTCATTCAGATTGAATCTGCTTCTGTCTGGACTGGTGCACATACCGACAACTGCGTACATAGCGCTGCTGCTGCTGAGGAGCATCTCGCCTAGCTAGGCTGTGCACGATACAATAGCTATCTAGGGTAGAGTCCCCCCACGCCTATTCAAGGTTCATCAGTTTCAGCCATTGCGCGGTCTCGTCTCAGTCGGTCTCGACGCTTGGCGTCACGCGGTCATCGATATATATACATATACATGACCAGAGATTTAGAGTGAATCAACGCTCAAGGATAGATTACAAGAGGGATGGATTAGACTCAGACTCATCAAGACACCGGCTCACTACTATTAGACTCTTGACTGTGGAACTCGAGGGCGCACCACCTCAGACAACGCGTCTACATACTCATTAAGGGCCCCTCTGGTTGGGTCAATAGCCCAGTCTTGAGCACGAGCAGTCCATCGTGAATCAAAGTCACGAGTCATTCTCTAGCTCGTTGAATTTTGATTAGGTCACAACAATTAAGTTTCGACCGGTTCTATACCTGCTTAGAGCAAGAAAGGACATCATCAGCTGCTGAAGGCCAAGGCATTTGCGAGCGGCGGGCGAGACGCTTTTGCATCACCCGTGGTTTGCGAGCAGCAGCAGCAGCAGCAGC